TCCCAGTCGTATCACAAGACACCTATGGATATCAGGCTTAATTGCTCTCACATGATCATATATTTACCACCGACACAGCGGCATCGAAAACTCATCGCTGATGAGAACTGCTTCGATGTCAGTGCTTTTTCAGTGCTGAGACCTTATGATTTCTTGTTTTGCGATAAGATAAAGGGCACCTGTGCACGAAATTTTGACGAAAAAATATAAAACATAGTACTAAGGACACAACTCGAAAATGAAAACTTACTGCGTGAAGCAAAAGAAGAAGACTGATAGCCAGCCAGGATCTGAAAGGCATGAGGTTGCGAAAAATGGTCGACCGATGATCAAATCAAAGTGTGCTGAGTGTGGCATCACCAAAGTTTCTTTCGTGGGCGGAGGAAAAAAAAAGGCGGGACGCTCTTTGAGGATGTAGGGCGAACCAGCACCTCGTTGGGTGAGATGGCTGTGAAGGGGCTAGCGAACATGGCACAGCTGGGGCTCGCAAACGCTGTCAAATCTGACTATGCGAAGAGCAAGTTAAAAAAGACGGCAAACAAGTATCTCGATCAGGCGCTTGATGCGTTTGTCAACGATATGAGTAAAAAGATAAGAGGGGGAAACGTCGGTTATAATGCGTACGATGTAAATCAAATACTACGGATGTCGATGTATGCACCTGGTGGAGTGAATGACCCGACTCACCCTCTTTACGAAGGTGGCTCTTTTGATATTCACAAAGCGATCGGTAAACTCCCAAAGCCGAAAAGCGGCTGGACGCTACCGGGTCACAAATATACTGGACCCTACAACGACCTTGATAGTCAACTGCGCTTCGATCCGAAGACTGGTAAGATTCTTGAGATCTATGACCCACCAGCAGGTCCAAGTGACGCAGTCGCAATGCAGCACGACGTTGATTATAGCGTTTGTGCAAACAAGGCAAACCCAAAGAAGTGTAAGAATGAGGCTGATCGTAAGATGGTGAAAGCGCTCGATGCTATACCATATGATCAGAGGCAGTGGGGTCATTGGCTTGCGAGAAACGTAATCAACACCAAACAGAAGCTAGGCCTAGGTGTGGGTGGAAAAAAAGAGTCGAAGCCAAAGGCAAAACCAAAGGCAAAGTTGACACATGGCAAGAAGAATTAGCAGATGAGCTTCATAAACCCATCAGACGAAACTTTACAAAGCGGCGTGTTATTGTGAACG